ATACTATCATTGCTACCATTAATAATTAGAATATTGAAATAAATATTTGGGAAAACATGCAAAAATAACAATATCATGTTCCATGTGAAATAAAAGCAAGCATTAAGCTGTGGTCTCTAATCAGATAAAAATCAATCAAATCAAAAAATGCCAATACTGGGGATATAGCTTAGTTGGTATAGTGTTTGTCACATGCATAAGGCCCTGGGTTCAATCTCCAGAACCACAAAAAAAAAAGTCAAGAAAAATAGTCATTAAATCCATTATTATAAAATTGCCTACATACTGAAAGAAAACATGAATTTAAAAACTAGAAAAAAATAAAACAGTAAAATAAGAATCAAGCGTAAAAGAATGAACAAAATTCAACAATTAAAAAGAAAAAACTTCTAAAAAATATCTGAACTGTAATATATACTAATATATAATACATTATAATAATCCCCAAAGTATTTTTTTAATATTCATTCATTTATTTATTTTAATTAGTTATACATGACAGCAGAATACATTTTGATTTGTTGTACACAAATGGAGCACAATTTTTCAGTATGTTGTTTTAACAACAGATCATACACTGCAAAAGAAAAGATCAATGAACTTGAATGCAAAGGAATAGAAGATAGTTACAATGAAAGAGAGAAAAAAGATGAAAACAGACTCAGTAACGTGTAAGACAACAATAAGGGTCAGAATATAAGTAACTGGAGTTCCAAAAAGTGCAGAGAGAAAGAGGTTCAGAAGAAAATATTTGAAAAAATAATGACAAAAAATAAATGGATTTAATGAAAAATATTTTTATATACCAAATAATCTCAATAAAATTTGATAAAAACAGAATATCACTAACTTCTCATCAGAAACAATGCAGGCCAGAAGATAATGAAATAATATCTTTCCTGTATCAAAAGAAAATTATTTTAAATGCAAATAAACAATCTTTCTATACAAAACTGAATTCAACAGGATATTCCTAAAAGTGATACAAATTAATGGCATTTGCTGTCCAAATAAGTATACCCAACCTGAAGCAGTATGCTTCCAGAGGCATGTAGTACAAGAACTGCTCCTTGGGTTACAGGAAATTGGTACTATATAAAAACTAAGAATTGCACAAGGGAATGGAGACTACCACGATTCAGTTGAAACACAACAATGAGGAAAACTTTAGAGAAGTAAATATCACAGTAGCAACAGCTGGGCGGGGTGGGGGGGAGGGAGACTGAAGCAGTAAATAACTGGACTCTTTTAAGAGGATATGTGTATACCAGAGATTGCTGTACACATTCCTTCATATTTGCAGGTCTTCAGGGTTTAGGTTAATCCATGATTCAAGTAAATGTTTGAGAATAGCACCTTTATTCAAAAAAGATCTCACATGTGTTACGTGCATGTGTGAAAATGTCAAAAAGAATACTCTTACCCTATACAATCAATATGTGCTAATTATTACAATAAAAATTGCCCATTAGTATTTAATTCTAAAATTGAAATGTTTTAAATATATACACAATCTAACCTATAACCAGGAAGTCCTTCTGTCTAAATTCTGTGCAACTGCAATGGAATGTTAATATGGAGCCTTGTTACTACAGTATGGATTATCTCCTGACATTGAATTTCTGTAAAGGAGTGAAAGCAAAAGCTATCAAAGGCCAGAGATAGAGTTAAATATTCTTTTATTAATAGAGAAGTAAGAAAAAAATGGGAACATACTCAACATGTATTTAGAAATTTGAGATATTACAAGTTGGAAATGAAAATAACAAAAATTCTGTTGTTAATACTGCTCAATACCCTGAATTATTGTTTTTTTGTTGCTGTGATATAATTCATTACACTTGTCATTTTATGTTGTTGAGAAATAACTGAGTCATTATTTTATTATTTGTGTTGGATTTTAAAAGGACTTTACTTGAGTAACCATAGAAGGTCATGTGAGTACAATTTATTTTTCCCATTGAATTGACAATAACATGCAGTGATGCCATTTCTATGATCCAGTGGAGGTGATTTTCCATTGTTTCTTGTGCTTAAAAATCAATACATTATAACTTATCATATCGATTATGTATGTTTTGCTTCTATTCTTTCACTTTTAAGAATATGGTCCTGGAAGCCTTCACTGACCAGATTACTATAAATTAACTAAATTCAAGGAAATGTTTTCATACACTAAAAATTACCTAAGAAGCACATGCTTCAAGTGTTTCAAGTTTAGTATTCAGGCTCAGTGTTTCTGGGTTTGAGTTTCACTCACTTTTTACAAAACTAAATTTCAATATTTCAAGTGAAAAAGACAACATGGGAATTTCTTTGGAGGCCAAATAATACATCCTGAACAAGACTGCCAGAAGTTAATATGTGAGAGAACTGGAGAATTGTTAGGCTATTAAAACTTGATAAATGTAAGAATTTTGAATTCCCTCAAATTTAAAGGCTAATGGCTATGGAAAAATTTTTTTGCCACTTTTCAAAAGTCAAGGTGAATAAATTAATATTTATTTTTAATCATATGTAAATGAAATTGAATAACAGAATTCTAAGTATTTCAATAGAGTAATCATGGATTCATTTGCATTTTAGGGCACTTTTTTATATATCTCTGATAGTTTTATATTTATTTAAAAAGCAGAAACTTTCTCCTTTGCCTGATGCTCATAAATAACAAGGATTTTAATGAATAGTGAAAATTATCTACTTAAATATGCACATATTTTAGGCTATTGCTGATCTATGTTAAAATAAAATTCAAACATTCATAATCATACTATCATTAAAAGCATTTTGTGACCATTAAACTAAATGTTTTTTTTTTTTTTTATTAGTAAACTGTAATAATTTACGTTTGTGATGTTTTAGGAGAGGAAAACACAAACTTCATTTTAAAAAGTAGATTTATTCATAATCTTTATGGTTAAAAGGAAAAATTAAACTTTAAAATAAAAAATTATTACTCAACCCCACAAAAAACTTTTAGCCAACAACTGCAAATTTTAAGAACCAAATGTTTCTGTGTTGCTTGTTATCAACTTGATTTCTGTAAACAACTTACTACATGAAATTTTGTGTTTTTTTCCTAGTTTAGTCATTTTGACATTTGACAGAGCATTTCTAGTTTAGAGGGTTTGCAGACATTTGAGCCTATATCTGGAAGAACAAAAAAATCGGACTTATAAAATTGAGAATATTAAGTAAATAAATAAAATATATTCATCCCAAATTTTCTAAACAAGACAAAGACTTCATTCTATTATTTATATATTTATAATATTATACTTGATGAGAAATGAAGTCCTAATAATGCACAAAGCATATAGATTTAATTCAAAAATCAAGTTAAACACTTTGTTTTCAAACATATTAGTTTAGTGTTTGCCCTTGTCATAATTTGGTCCATCTTAACTTGAAATTTTTAGTAATATACAGAACACATCAGAAACTAAAATAAATACTCATTTTAACTTTATTCTGAGTCATGCCTCTTTTAATTTGTCTTTTTCACATAAATATGCATTGACTTGTATAGTGTTTATGTTCACAATGAATACAATGGAAAACCATGTCTATTCATCTTTACAAGGTTATTTTCATCAACCAAAATGAATGCTTTCCAGTGTCCTTATTTTCTTTGTGCTCTTGGCCTTCCAGAATCCTCTAATATTATTTTTTGCCCCAATTATTCCTAAAGAATAAAGTTCATACAAGGAAACAGGAATCACAAATATTTTGTGTCTTTCTCTGTGCTTCCATTGGCTCCTGTAAGAGTAATTCATGATGTTTTGATGGCTGGAAATAGGAAAAAAATCACTGGTTTCTGAAAGAATAAAGGACAAGGAACAGAGTGAAAATTATGGGAGACTTGTCATGTCATACCTTGATAAGAAAAATGAGTGTATCAGCTTTTCTTCTCTATTTTTCATTGATAATTCACTGTATATATGAGACTTTTTCTTTATCCTAATATTAGTGACTTTGTGCTGTCATACAGTTCTACAATGTATAAGCTCCTAGTAAATACTGGCTAACAATGTGGTATTATTCCATAGTAATTTTGAAGCATACTTTATTTTGAATATTTGAGGTCTACATGATGTTATGATGCATAGTGGATGTAAATGTTAACTGAACATCAATCATCACACGCAGTTACCCTCTTTTTGTGTGTAAGTGCAGCTAAAATCTGTTCCTTTAGCAAAAGTCCTGAATACAATACGATATTATTAACCATAGTCCTCCTGTTCATTAGATCTCTAGACTCTATTCTGCTACTCTTATGTCCTTTTTCCTACATCAACCCCTTTCTTTCCTTTCCCCGCTCAGCCATTCCTCTTGTAACCAAAGATATATTCTCTGAATTTGACATTAAAAAAAAAAAAGAATCCACATGTGAAATCATGTAAAATTTTTCTTTTTGTGTATGGCTTATTTCGCTTTGTATATTATCCCACAAGTTTATTCATGTTGTAGCAAAAGTTAGAAACTTCATCTTTTTAAGGCTCAACAATATCCTAATTGTGTGCATGTGTGTGTGTGTGTGTGTGTGTGTGTGTGTGTATGATTGATTATTCATTCTCCCATGTTCACTGAAACATTATTCACAATAACCAAGATATGGAAAATGTTCTACTAATATTTTGGTTAACTTTTTTACTTTCTTTTTTGCCCTCCTGGGAGTTGAACTCAGGGTAACTCTCCCATTGAGCTACATCCCAAGCCCTTTATTTATGTATATTTATTTATTATTTTGAGATAAGGTCTTGCTAAATTGTTGAGACTGGTCTCAAATCCTATCTCAGCCTTCTGATTGCTGGGCTTATAGGCACACCGTGCCCAGTTTGGGTTAATATTTATAGATTTGAATTACGGTACTACCGATATGTTGAATAGATCATTTCAGCCCTGAGATCCAATTTCACATTCTGACCAGTTTGCAGTAAAAACAATACATTAAAGATTATTATTTTAATTCTTTCTCTTGCTCTTTCTGTCTCTCTCAGATTTTTGGACCAGTTGAAAATTTTATTGGCTGCATACAAGTTGTGGAAATCAATAACCAGGGAACTTTCATTCCATCCAAGGCAGTGAAAAAAAATCACGTTGAGAACTGCAGGTAAAACCTCACTAGTGATTTTCAAATGATTTATTTTAGAGTGATCCCACTAAAAGGTACCATTTCTAATTGACATTATCTGATCAGAACTGGAATATATTTCCTTTCTTTTGTTTTCCTTTATCCAGTATCTTACAGACTGTAGAATTTTTAAAATAATTCCCAGTGAAGATGGAGCACTTGTTCATGATAGGTGTCCACTTTGTACTGAATAAGATGCTTCATATTGACAAACAAATGATCAGTGTGTTGTGGTTAGAAAACATCTATTAGAGCTACTTTTAAGAATGAACAGTCAAACATGCAGAATATTTTTTAGAATGATAAAATGATACTTTTCTCCAAAATATATATCTCAAAAGTTGCCTTTGTGCTTCAATTTTCATTACTAGTATCATATTCCTTACAAACAGTTGGAAGCTGGAGTGAACTAAAGAGCACATTTGAGAATGAATCAGGCATTAATGCATTAATGAAGTAGACAGAATATTACTTTTCCCTGATAGTTAAGAGCAAAAGGTCATTTCTGTAGGTTTGTGTTTATTGGAAAAGGTACCATTTCCAATGGAAATTATCTGACTACATAGAGTAGGTAATTATCAGGCCATGAGAAATTTGCATACATGAGTATATTAAAATGATATAATGGGATACTGGGTGCCTTTTGACTATTTTGTTTTTAATCAAATGAAACATAATAGTTGGGCTGGGGTTGTGCTTCAGTGGGCAGAGCACTTGCCTCACATATGTGAGGCATTGGGTTCTATCCTCAGCACCACATAGAAATAAACAAACAAAATTAAGATTTGTGTCCATCTATAACTAAAAAAAAGAAACATAATAGTTTATACTATAAACGGGATGATCCTGGCAATTTTAATATAATCAGATACTTGTAAATTCTTATATTTTACCATTTTGTTTCCGATTTTCTATGGAAAACATGTTCTTTGATATTTTATTAGCATTCCCTAACATTGACTAAACTCTCAGCTTCTATGTTCCCTGCCTTCTCTGTCAAATGCTATGATATATATTCATCTTGCATAACTGGAATTTTGCACCTATTGAACAGCAGCACCCCACTTTTCCTTCCCTCTGGCTCTGGAAACCACCCCCCTACTCTGTTTCTATGAGCATGGCTATTTTTACATTCCTCATATAAGTGGGGTTAATGCAGCATTTGTTTTCCTGTTTCCAGCTCACTTCACTTGGCACAGTGTCATCCAGATTCATCCATGTTTTAGCATATGTCAGAATTCCCTTCCTTTAAAGGTCTATAGTATTCTACTGTGTGCATAAACCACATTGTCCTCATCCATTTTTTTGTAACTGTTCTGTCTTCCTGCTACATTGAAACTTTTAATACTATATAATGTCGTTATTTGTTTATTATTTTCTTTTGATTTGAAGTATATTTTGTTTGACATTCAAATAGCAACTCCTGCTTCCTTTCAGTTATTTGCATGGAGTCACATCTTCCATTGTTTATATATATTATATATATGTTCCATTGTTTGCTTTCAAACTATTGGTATATTTGGACCTAAAAAGAATCTTTTAGGGAGTATATATTTGGAGCTGGTGATTTTAGCCATTTTGCTAATCTCTTACTTTTGACTGCAGAGTTTGTTCCATTAATTTTAAGTTACAGATAAAGAGGAACTTGCTTTTGTTGTTTTGCTATCTGCTTTTTATGACTAATGGGGATTTTACCCCTGCTTTCTTTCACTACTGCCTTCTTCTGTGTTCAGTTGATTCTTAGTGATATATTTAAATGCCTTTTCAGTTTCCATACTTATATATTACTTATATATTCTCTAGCAGTTTTCTTTGAAGTTCCCATGGGAATTACATTGAATAATGTAAAGTTATGATAATCTAATTTGAAATGATGCCATCTTAACATCAATGTCAATTACATTAAAAAAAAAAAATATTTGCTCCTATTCCAACTCTGTCCCCACACTTTTCAATTGCTTGATGTCACAAAATCATATATTGTGACAAAATCATATATATATATATATATATATATATGCAAAATCATATATATATATATATATATATATATATATATATATATATTATGTGCCCTAACATAAGCCAGCAATAAACCAGTAAATTTTGAAATGCATAAGACTCTTAAATTATGCAGAAAACAAAATTACAAACCAAAATTATTTTTTTAATTTACTATTCTCCTAAATCACATAGAAGAACGTACCAATTAATGCTAAAATAGTATGTGTTTTAATCATTTCCTAGGTATTTATACTTATTGACAACTTTATTTCTTCATATGGCTTCCAATTAATAATTTGTATCCTTTCATTTCATTCTGCAAGATTTTCTTGTCCATTTCTCTCAGGGTGGATCTAGTAGAAATAAATTCCCTTGGATTTTGTTTGTCTAGGAATTCTTAATTTCTCTGTAACTCTTTTTTTTTTTTTTTTTTTTTTGGTGGGGGGTTCGGGGATTGAACTTAGGAGCACTCAGCTACTGAGCCACATCCCGGCCCTACTTTGTATTTTATTTAGAGACAAGGTATCACTGAGTTACTTAGTGCCTCACTCTTGTGAGGCTGGCTTTGAACTTGTGATCCTCCTGCTCAGCCTTCTGAGCTGCTGGAATTACAGGTGTGTGCTGCTGTACCTGGCTGCTCTATAACTCTTGAAAGAATATTTTGCTGGATACAGGGTTCTTGGTTCACAGCTACTTTTTCTCTTCTTTCAGCTCTTTGAATATATTGACCTTCTAGTCTCCAAAATTTCTGATGAAAATTGATTCAGATTAATCAAAACAAGCTTCAATTTAATGCTCAAACCAACAGAAAATTATAAGCTTTCTATAGACTACTGTGTTCCAAAATATGTACATCAGACAGAGTCTGCCAGTGTAATTGCTGTCTAGGTGGGGAATCAGATACCTAATGCTTCCTAGTCTACTCTCCCCGTCTTTATTACTTCATATAAGATAAAATAAACTCATCATATGTCAACCTAAATAAAATAAAGTTGCATCCTCTTTGAAAAACAACTTTACTAGAACTAAGAAATAAAAATGATGATTAGAATGATATTGTTTTCTGTATTTGCAAATATCTTTACTGACTGGTTTAATGAAGACAGCCAGAATATGTGCTTGTGCATTCATTCATTCATTCCAATAATTGTTTTATTGAAGTCTATTGGCCTCACAACAGATATATTTTTCTTTAATTTTTATTGTTGGTTGTTCAAAACATTACATAGTTCTTGACATATCATATTTCACACTTTGATTCAAGTGGGTTATGAACTCCCATTTTTACCCCGTATACAGATTGTAGCATCACATCTGTTACACATCCACTGTTTTACATATTGCTATACTAGTGTCTGTTGTATTCTGCTGTCCTTCCTATCCTCTACTATCCCCCATCCCCTCCCCTCCCCTCTTCTCTCTCTACCCCATCTACTGTAATTCATTTATCCCCCTTGTTTTTTTTTTCCCCTTTCCCCTCACTTCCTCTTGTATGTAATTTTGTATAACCATGAGGGTCTCCTTCCACTTCCATGCAATTTCCCTTCACTTTCCTTTTCCCTCCCACCTCTCACCCCTGTTTAATGTTAATCTTCTTCTCATGCTCTTCCTCCCAACTCTGTTCTTAGTTACTCTCCTTATATCAAAGAAAACATTTGGCATTTGTTTTTTAGGGATTGGCTAGCTTCACTTAGCATAATCTGTTCTAATGCCATCCATTTCCCTGCAAATTCTATGATTTTGTCATTTTTTAATGAAGAGTAATACTCCATTGTGTATAAATGCCACATTTTTTTTATCCATTCGTCTATTGAAGGGCATCTAGGTTGGTTCCACAGTCTTGCTATTGTGAATTGTGCTGCAATGAACATCGATGTAGCAGTGTCCCTGTAGCATGCTCTTTTTAGGTCTTTTAGGAATAGACCGAGAAGGGGAATAGCAGGGACAAATGGTGGTTCCATTCCCAGCTTTCCAAGAAATCTCCATACTGCTTTCTAAATTGGCTGCACCAATTTGCAGTCCCACCAGCAATGTACAAGTGTACCCTTTTCCCCACATCCTCGCCAGCACTTGTTGTTGTTTGACTTCATAATGGCTGCCAATCTTACTGGAGTGAGATGGTATCTTAGAGTGGTTTTGATTTGCATTTCTCTGACTGCTAGAGATGGTGAGCATTTTTTCATGTACTTATTGATTGATTGTATGTCCTCCTCTTAGAAGTGTCTGTTCAGGTCCTTGGCCCATTTGTTGATTGGGTTATTCGTTTTCTTATTGTTTAATTTTTTGAGTTCTTTGTATACTCTGGATATTAGGGCTCTATCTGAAGTGTGAGGAGTGATTTGTTCCCAGGATGTAGGCTCCCTATTTACCTCTCTTATTGTTTCTTTTGCTGAGAAAAAACTTTTTAGTTTGAGTAAGTCCCATTTGTTGATTCTAGTTATTAACTTTTGTGCTATGGGTGTCCTATTGAGGAATTTGGAGCCCGAGCCCACAGTATGTAGATCGTAGCCAACTTTTTCTTCTATCAGACGGCGTGTCTCTGATTTGATATCAAGCTCCTTGATCCATTTTGAATTCACTTTTGTGCATGGCGAGAGAAAGGGATTCAGTTTCATTTTGTTGCATATGGATTTCCAGTTTTCCCAGCACCATTTGTTGAAGATGCTATCCTTCCTCCATTGCATGCTTTTAGCCCCTTTATCAAATATAAGATAGTTGTAGTTTTGTGGATTGGTTTCTGTGTCCTCTATTCTGTACCATTGGTCCACCCGCCTGTTTTGGTACCAGTACCATGCTGTTTTTGTTACTATTGCTCTGTAGTATAGTTTGA